CAGTTTTTATCCCCCATTTTTCTTGAGTGTTCCCAAGGTCTTGCTTATCTGGCAGCAGTGCCCTCCCCAAGGTTATTGTGCTTTGACTGTGAGGGGGAAGAGAGACCTGAGATCACATAGCAGCACATTGATTTGAAGGAGGTGCAGCTTGGAGACAGTTTCTGCTATCTCAACCACCTCCCACATTCCCGTCTGGATTGCAAACTTTCTTTATTTTTTCCTTCCCCTTTCCCCTCTTATCAGGGAAAATTTACAAAGCTTGTCCTTCATCTCTTTCCAAAGGTAGTGCTTGTGGAAGGAAAATAGTCAAGAGATGCTGAACCTCATCAGGGTTTATTTCCCTGCACTTAAGCTGTCAGCAGTAAGGAGTGGGATTCCTCTTGGTTTCACATAAGTGTAGAAACTAATTTTTTTTGTGATTTGCCTGGTTGGTTCCTTTGTTTTCTAGAAGGGTCAACATTTTCCCCTTTAAAAGGTACTGTTTGTTCTCCTTTATATCATGCAATGGTGATGGCAAATGGAATGGTTATGGAATGGTTATGCTGTCTGAAGGGTAACTCATGATAGAAGACTAGTTATAGAGAATATGCTCAGTGGAGCTGGACATCCCACAGCACTACTGCATATTTCTTCCCGCCATGTAGGAGATGTGATTAAGGTGCATAAAACACAAAAGGGGTCTGCCTTTTTTTCAAGACAAGATGCAAGCAGATCCCATCGCCTCTGTCGACTTGGTTCAGGAACTGGAAACAACAGTCATGGGGAAGTTTGACAACAAACTTGCACTGCTTGCAGGAATCTCTTAAGGCAAGTGTTTGCTTCCTGGAGATGAAATCCACTGTACTTACAAAAGCAAGTTCTTGTGTCACCCTCCATGTTAGACTGACATTTCCAAATGTACATCTTATTGTCACAGGAGAACATCAGTACAGCCAGCACTCATCAACAGCACGTTGGGTGAGGGACTGAGTGACCGGTCAGCTCAGGAAGCCAGCTCACCAGGGCTCGCTCTCACATGTCAAGTCAGTCCCTGTCTCCACGTGCAGCTGCCACTGCAGTGGCCTGAGATGGCAGCTTGCTGCTCAGAAATAGCTGGCAATGCTGCAGGGGAGACCAGTGGGACACGTGATGCCTGTCAACTCCTGGCTAAATCTTGACAGAGTTATTTTTTTCTGCTTTTTATCTGACTTTATAAGCTACCTTGGTAGCTTAATGGTTTAATAGATCACTTGGGCAATTTTCTTAAATGATTTGTTTTAAATCCTTGGTTTTGCAACATGACTCCCTAAAGGATTGCTGTCTCAAGGCTAGAGCAGGGAACTTCAAGTCCGAGCCCTATCTGGGAAGTGGTATCCAGCAACGCTGGGAGAGGCTACACTGCCTAGATGAAGTGTTTCTCCTGCTCGTGTGCAGATGGGGCAGAGGAACTTCTACAGCACTTGTAAAGAAGTAATGCAGTGGTAATTCTGGCCATACTGCTTGCAGTGCATGTAATGTCCAGAGGTGCAACTGCATTTTTAAAAATTATACAAGTAGTGCATTTACTTTGTGTATTCAGGGAACCAGCAATAGTGAGCTCATTACCGTGTAAAAAATGTTACAAAATAGAAAGTTATCTCAGCATAAGGATGGAAAGGGTCAGATTTCTTGCCAGCAATGTCAGGTATGTCAGGGAGATCATGCATGTGTATAAAGTGCATCACTAGAGTTGTTGGCTGCACTGGGAAATTTCAGTCTTTAATGAGGGTGTCCTTCCTTTCCATCATGTGATGAAGAGGTGGAACAAAAGCAGCTCCTCAGTAAAATAAAAAATGAGAGACCAGTGGGTTGCAATGATCCAAAGTGAGCTAAAAATCCGTAACAGAGAAGGACGAGCCAATTTGTACAAGTTGCACAGAGCAACTATATCCAAGCCTGCACCTCTATTGATATGGCCGTTGCTCAGACTTCCACAGAATACGGCCAGTTGCTAGACCTCCAGTAGCTTTCAATGTATGTATAAAATGAGGAGCTGCTAAACCCTAGTTGTAGGTTCTCCCTAGAAAGTTGCAGATTCTAGAAAGTATAACAGAAAATAGCTTGGTGGCAAAGAATAGAGTAGGCTAAATATTAAAACAAATGTCACAGCCACTGGCATTTCCCATCCTGCAGCTAGATTTATTGTGTAAGTAGGCTGAACACACACTGCAGTCACAATTTTAGCAGGAATCTTCATGGTGCAGTCTCAGTGGGGATTTTGGCTGCAGCAATGTGAGCTGTCCTGTACTGTTGCAAATTGGAAGGCAGTCTTTGCTGACCTGAGCAACTGGCTCAGACTTCCAGTAGATGCTTCAGAAATGCAGTGTTGTGTATCATTCATGCCTCCAGTCCAGATCATCTTCAAAGCAAACCCTTTGAATTCTTACAATTAGGCAGTAACGTTTGCTTCTGAAGGTATGCATATTCTTTTTTTTCCTATGCCCTTCTTTCTTCATTAGCATTCAAAACCTAGGAATAGTTGTCCCCTGTTTGATTTTATCGTTAGTGAACAGCTGAAAGGTACTGGTATTGCTGCTCAGTGATTCCAAGCTATGAAAAGCAGAGAAAATGCTTCAAACCAATTAGCCAACTGCAGTGGCAGTGGGGCTGTGGCAGTGCAATAGTCCTATTTCAGGGAAGGACTTCAGTTAAGAAGTCACCCTGTGGTTTATTTCATCTCAGGATTGAAGCAATTTTTTCCCCTTCCCACTACCAGATATTGAGTTTATACTGTTTTAAGGTCAAATACATGAAGTCATCTTGACATGAGCAAGAATGATAGTTGTTGCTGGCATGAAGGCAGGTTGTAAGGCCAGCCTGGTGTGTTCTCCTTTGCCTCCTGTCTGTGTGGCAATGAAAGCTGTATGTTATTTTCAAAAAATGTTGCCATTGTGTTTCAGAGCAGATCCAGTTGTCTGACCACAGGGAAAGAAACCATTTGGAGTCCAAAGACAGTAAAAATATCACGTTGAGCAAAAGATGAAGTAGAAATACCCCTGTCACCCACCAGCCCTGCAGCACCTCAACCCCACAGCACCTTCCTGCCCACCTCAGCACACCCCTGTATATACTGGCTGCTGAAGTGAGGACCACTAAGAGGAAGAAGGCTCTGGAGACCTCTCAGGCCCTTTACTGTTGGTGGGCTACCCCATTTACTCATCAGTCTCCTTGAGGTCCTGGAAAATCACATAGTTAGATGGAGGCTTTTCCCCAAGTAATTATAAAGAACTCATTAGGAGGACATGGATTCTCCTTGGAAACCTTAAGAAATAACAGTACAGGTGAACTGGTTGCAGTATGGTTGGGTTTAAATCAGCTGAGTCCTGGGTTTCTGCTAGTTGAAGTATTTAGGAGAGAACTGTTGTTAAGAATCCTTATTCACACCAGAGAAATATAAACCTTTTGACGACCATATCCACGAGTGTATTATTTTCCCTTCTCTTGTCTTAGGGCATATTTGACTCATTGTATCCTGAATAAATAGAAAAAATGTCCCACAGCTGGATGTGAAATCTCATGGTAATGCTGAATGTGAGGAGTATGAAACTGTGCCCTCCCAAGTGTTTTTTTTCTGAAGCAAGAAGGGTGACATTTGCTAAATGGCTTTATGTGAGTGTTTCTATTGCAAAAGCTTGTGCTGTCCTTCAGTTAGACGGTGCTGCACAAATGAGGATCTGTCAAGACTAAAAGCAAGTATGAAAATTAACCAGTAAAAATTGTTTCACACCAGGTTGTAGCTCAAAGGATACATTTATGCTGTGTCGTAGGAAAACCAGTGGCAGTTATGTCCCTCTTAGGACTACATCGAATAGTGTAAGAAAGCTGAATTAAGCAGTTCTTCTGTGTATAGACAGGTCATCACTAATTACCTGTGTTGGTGAAGATAAGGGAATTCTGCTTGGCTTGTTAACACACTGAAATAAGCTGTGCAACTTGTGTCTGTTTGGTTGTTCTGAAGTTTCATGTACAGTGGCTTTAGGATAGGAGACAATATTTCATGTTGCATAAATCAGTATAGTTAAAACTGCTCATTAGCTCTGTAAAAGTGCTTCCTTGGGCAAAGTTTAAGAGAAATGCCCAGGGTGCCTGTTTTTCTCTTCAGTTCCTTTTGTGTGTTCTCAGTCATTATTTGGTCAAAGTGTTTTGATTTTATTTTCTTCATGTTTGGGATAATATCTATTACAAATCTAGGGATAAGTAGCAGAAGAGCTCACTGTGTTATGGGATTCTCAGCAGGAAAGTAAAACTAAGGAAGGAAATTAGAAAAGGGTATGTGTTAAGTTCTGCTGCAATGAAACACTATGTAAGTTTGAAGATTCTCTCAGAGCAAACTTGTAACATTAGTTAGACTTGCTAGGAGAACAAAGAACCCAAAAGAGAGACTTGTCTGATGTAAGATGTATCCATCCAGAGCTGAGCTACTCATGTAACCTCCCTGCATAGTCACCAGAGATATGGGCTTTTTCAGGATATTTGCTTTCTTAAATGAATGTCTTAAGTGGAGATGAAATGTGTCCAAGTACCAGTTCCCTTCCATGAACAGGTGGGGAATGCTGGGCAACAGTCCAAATATCTATGAGTGGTAAAATGAAACCTAATCTATGGGACAATTTCTGGTGGTTATTTCTTCCTTCTAGAGGGATCCAAGTAGCTTCAGACAGGCTAGGCACCTGCTTATAATCTGGAGACTTCAGAGAGTTGCAGTGTTTGCAGAATAACACTGATTATCAAATAATGTGTGCCAGTCTTTGGGGTGAGGGCCATCTCTTTGTTTTGTGTTTATACAGCCCCAGGCACAGCAGGATCCTGCCCCAGGATGGACCTCCTGCACACTACCACAGCACAGATAATCAATAATAGCAGCCTTACTTAGAACTTTGATCAGTCTCTCTTCCTTCTAATTTGCTCTGTTTTAAATCCCTGTGATGTCTAAATGAGGTTTGATAAGAATTCTCTGTCTCTCATTTCCTCCCGTCCCACAGGAGCACATTTACAAGCTGATGAAGAGTGATAGCTATGCACGCTTCCTCCGTTCCAATGCTTACCAGGACTTACTGCTGGCAAAGAAGAAGGTATCTGTTGGAAAGGACATGCTTGCATCTCTTAGCACCTCTTGATTCTCACCTGCTGCTTGCTGCTAATGTGAAAATGAAAATACTGTTTCCTTTTTCTTTTTTTTTTCCTTTAAGAAGGGAATGAGCACTTTTGTCTTCTTCACTGGGGGCACAGGTATGGCATCCGTGTGCACAGCCTCAACATGAGTTTTGGGGAAAATATGGAGACCCAAGGTAAAAATGATATTGAAAGGTGTTTATCTTGCACAGTTGTCTCCCAAACTCCATGTAGGCAATTAAAATTGTATTACCTCTTTCTCATGGAAAAGATGGTGTGTGGTATGAGAAGCAGAACCCATCAATCTATTCATTACTGGTGCAAAATTCACCCATTAAGGTTTTCACCTGCCTAGCCTCACCATGTAATATTTCCTTTGGATGCCTTACCTATAAATTCTCCTTCAGTGATTTCCATACTCCTCCCTTTCCCTTGCTTTTGCCTCCCCAGAGATGTTTCATTTTCCTCCAAGACAGGAAATAATTACAATGCATGTAGTAATCAAGAATTCCAGCCCCATTGTCTCACAGGAGATCTCGGTTTGAGATCTTCTTAACCTTTTAGCATCTGCATGAGCTCTGCCAGCACCGTGATTCTGTCAGGAGCCCCCAGATTAGGCCAGCAAAGGAGTGGTTACACAGAGTTACAACAACTCCTGTCCCTGTGCCCCTTCTTTCTAAGAGGTCTGGGAGATAAGCTACTGATCTCAGCATTTGTGGCTCTGCTCAAATGCTTCCCCCACCTCCTGAATAATTCCCATAGGTCTGTGTGTCTGTCTTTGTGCATGTGCATGCCATGTACACGTGTATGTGTCCCACTTATGTTTGGCCTCCAGGACCCTATGAAAACTGACTCCTGACTCCTGCAGCCTGACTGTGTGGTTTCCCATCACCATCTTCCCTGCTGTTTTTCTGCTGCATTCTCTCTGTGCTGCCAAATTACATTGCATTGACACAATACAATGAAATCCCAGTGGTATTTTTGTCCTGTTGTCATTGTGTGCCCTAAAAGCATGCATATGGTGACAAAAGGAGACAAGTCTCTCTGTCTGCTGTGCCAAAACTACTGGCAGGTGGTTAGGGAAGGTAGTGGAGGGTGGCAGTCAGCCTTCTGTTTCAAAATGTCTGGTCTGTGACAGCATAAGCCAGTGCAGGTTAGACCTTACTTAGAGTTCAGAGGCTGTGGGGACAGAAGGAAGTGTAAGGCAAAGTCTTCTGATGATATAAAGCATAAAAATCTCTGCTGTCTTCCTACCCCTACCAGTTTTTGGCTCCCCTCACCCCCAAGTCTCTACTGAACACATGAGGGTTCATGTGCTTGAAAGCCAGGAGAGTTTTCTCCTCCCAGCCAAACCCATTCAAACTGGAGGTTTATTTTTTTGCAGTCCTTGTTTGCTGTCAGATCAAGCCCTGGATGTGTCACCGTGACATCCTCATTTCCCCGCAAACTGCCGGAGGAGCAGGTTTTGGTGTCATGTTAACGCAGCCATGAAAGCAAGAATCAAGTTCCTTTTAGAAAGAGCTGTGGGTGCACGAGTAAATATATCAAAGCACAAAAAAGGCAAGAGTAGATCTGTGCAGATGTGCTGTTCACCAGCTTCACATGATGTGGGAGGGGAGTTGGTGTTCCTCTGGAGTCTGTAAAGCTCTATGCAACCACATTGCATTATATTGGACAAGTGAATGTTTTGGAAGGAGTGTAGGTACCGAAATGCTGACAGAAAGAACAAGTTTATGTGCACTGAGCTACACAGTCCTATCTTGAGGACCTTTGGTGCAGCTTTGAGAGGCATCCTTTTAAAATTCCTCTAAAAAGCTGGAAAGCAGAGGGAAGGAAAAGAGAAACGCAGTGGCATATCAGAGCCAGTGGGGCTGGAGGATTTGGTTTAGAACCTGCAAACAAAGTCCTGGATTCACTGATGTGAATAGAAATTCATTCAAGTCTTGATGAGTACATCTCTCTGAGGCATGTCTTTCCCCAAAGACATTATCCTCACATTGCCTGTATACCACACTGTATGACATAGCCTTACTTCCATTACTGAAAATACATTCTGTCAGAAGCACAGCATGATGGACATGGGATAAAAGAGTTGTTTGCATTAAGCAAATAAATTGTGGCTTCAGCTTCACAGGTGAATATTTTGTGGATAAGTAAGTTTATGTTATTTGTGATCTTTTGCCCTTTGGCACTGGGTTGTGGCAACTGAGAGGGCAGAAACATTGACTGTGTGGCTAGAGCACAGGACTGGGAGCCATAAAAATCCATGTGCTTTCCCTGATTCCCCCACCTAATTTCTTGTGTGAGCTTGGCGAAAAAAAGGTTCAACCTTTTGCCTCCCTCATATTCTCCTCTTTGTCAAATGGCAATAATAATAGTGCCCTGCTTAGCTGGAAGCCAAAGCTTGATTAGTGATTCCAAACATGCTTGACATTTTTGATATTTGTAAGATACTGTAAGTTTGAAGAGTTATTTTCTTCCACACCATACAATAACCACAGATGTGGAGCTACCCCTCCCTGCTCTGGGAGTATAGTAATGGAGAGGAAGAAGGGAGAAGACATTATGGGTCAGGATTGAGGTACAATGACAGAATTATGAGGGGAACATACTGTTCACACCACTAACGGATGCAAGACAGCAGACATAGGCTGTATGCAGACCAGGCATACATACTTGGTTAATCCATTTAAGATTTTTTCTTTCTTCATTCTTCCTAGTGTCATTATTGCAAATAACCGCAGTATTATTGGCCTCAGTCCTGCAGATTCATGGTGCTCAGCGGGGAATATGAGCTTGGCCTCCAGCAAGGGTGTGATTGGAAGCAGTGAGCTGCAGAGAGGGAAAGCTGGGTGTAGCTTTCTGCCTCCAACAGAAGTCCTCTTCCCTGCCAGGCTGGAGAAGAGGAGGGATGAGGGTGGAGCCCTGTCCTCAGGAGGAATGGCCATATGCCCAGCCCAATTTGAGTTCTGTGCATTCGTGCCCATCCCCCTCTCTGCAGCAGGTAGAAATCATGGGGCTGCTGAAAGCATCTGGTTTAGCAGTGAAAGTCTGGATGGTGCTGAGAACCGCGGCCAACTTATTGCATTTTATTTGTGTATCTACAAAACATGCCCCACTTGTGCTGTGCAAAGTCAAGTGTCAACCTGCTGCTATTTCTGCTGATATGCAAGTTACTGCAGGGCACTGTACAGCAGGTAATCACCACTGCGCTGCCCTCCAGCCCTTCTCCACAGCAGCCAAAATGGGGGCTGGATGTCCTTAGAGAGCAGTGAGCCACCCATCAGGACAAGTGCTGTGACAAATCTCCTCACTCAAGGCAAGGAGGCATTTAGGCAGGGTGACTTGGATGCAGAGCAAGGTTTTATTCCCTGGGGAAAGAGAAGTGTAGATCAGTTATGCACAGGAACTTTTGTTAATGGTGAAGGAGCAGCCAGACACAAGCTCTGCTAGTTATTTTTGTGGAGAAAGGAGAGAAAGAAACAGAAAAGACCTTGAGGCACTTTCCATTACTCACCATAAAGGTGAAACAATGACATTGGTGGTCATCTCTGCATTAGCTGAAGCGGCAGCTGAACTGTCACAGTCCTGACATGGGGAGACTTCCTGCCATCCAGCCCTGCCTTCAGGCAGGGGAGCATGCTGGAAAGGCACCCATGGCTGCACTGCAGCCAGGCTGCAAAGCCACGGGAGTAAGCCCTGCCACACTGAAGGAAGAGCAGGTTGGTATTTGCTTGGTTTAGAGCATTGTTTTCCTCTCCAGCTGGTTCAGAGAAGTGTGAATTCACCATGGTCCTGTTCAAATGGACACAAAATATATGCAAAATACTGTTCTGGTCACACTTGGTAGAGCCTTTGCTTTCTCACTTTGGACAGGTAGACATGACTGCCTGAGAAGCCAAGGACCCTGGGCTTTGGTCAGGGAAGTAATTATCCTTTATTTTCATCTGATGCCATTCCCTCTGGAACACATATTTTTCACCAAGTTAAAGTTCAAAATAAACCCCACTCCACACCCCAAAGTCTCATATACAAAAAAAAAGGATTTGATAGCCAACAAAATAAACCTGGGGAGGGAGTGAAGGAGGGAGGGAGAGATTTTTGCAGACCTGAAGTTCAGAAGACCAAGTTTTTGTATGTATTTCCCTACACTTTTTCAGATCCCTGGCAAAAAGGGTCAGCAAGGGAATGGTTAGGACCTTCATGCCATAAGGGGTAGGTTCCATTTTCCACACACACCTTTTGAAGCATTGCTTTTATCCAGACCCCTGTGCTGACTGCTCTATATTGTCAAGGAAGGTTCCTAATGCAAATTATGGCCCTGTCTCAGTCCCATTAGGGTACAAATGGACAGTTTGATTCAGTGGCAGAACTTGCCTTGCATGTTGTAAAGATGCTGAGCACTTTCCTCATAATTATTTTTAATAATCAGTGTCAGCCGGTTTTCCTAATTTTTTTCTACTTAAACTCTGAGCCATCAGAATCTTCACAAAGGAACTTAAAATTGAATGACTGGGTAAATAATTAATCGTTAGAAAAAAGGAAAATTTGGAGAAGAAAGTCAATAATTAGTGAGTGGCTTCTAAGTGGTAAAATGTATTTTTCTGTATCTACCTGGGCTGAGAGGTTTTCAGTTGCAGCAGGGATTGTTGCTTCGTATTTTATCCAAATGCACATGTCCTTTGCCGTTAGCTGGTAGAGTCTCTTGGTGTATTTACTGGCAAAGTTTGCTTTTTTTGCACCTGGGAGGACTACATGACCTGACATGCACATGTGTTTCTCTGCCTTTGCCCCTTTGCACACACAGTGCATGTTAGTGCAAATGCTGCTGTGGTGCTGCAGCAGGCATAGCTCCAGGGTCCACACCCCAGGTCTGTTCCCAAGACTGAGATAGGTCTGACTCAGTCTATTTTTTTGTTTGTTTGGTTTTTTGTTTTTTGTTTTTTTTTTTTTTTTAACTTTGTTATTTTTAAATTTCCTTCATCTGCTGTGCAAGGCAGCCTCCCCACCTCTGCACTGTGGCAGAGAGATGTGGGCAGGCAGTTCCATCCACAGCAAGCTGCCAGCCACAGGGGCAAGCAGACAGGAAGAGCCAGTGAGCCATACAGCCAGCACCCACACCCACAGACATTAAAACTGCTCCAACCGGCTCATCACTCTGCAGCCAGCCTGCCTCAGCTGCTTTTTATTTTCCTAGAAAATGTCATGCTTTGACTCAGAGCTGGATGCTATGGGGATGAGCTTTCCATGCATCCAGCTGGTCCCAGCCTGCCACCACTATGCCAAATACTGCAGACTGTGCTTTGCAAGGTGCTTCTGTGAGACACTGTCAATGCTCCCCGTGGCTGCTTCCCCACGTGTCTTCGGTTGTGGTAGGCAGCAAACAGCCTTATGGGGGGCTCCCTCTTCCAGACAAGCTCTCAGCACCCCAACAACGTGCTCATCATCTTAGGAGACCATTATCCTGCCTTTCTGCTGGATGGGAAGCTGCATCACCTTGCAGGTAGAAAAAGCAGAGGCACTAAATTTTGATGGCAAGTGCAGGGGCACAGCATGGTTTGCACTCAGCAACTCACTCTCTTTTGCCCCCAGTGCACACCAAACCTTCACTTCAAAATGCAGTTGGGCCAGACACTGATTTTCCAGCCCACAGCTCTGCAGTGCTGCATACTCCAAGCGTCTTGCTCCCCTAGGGATCCTTGCAGAACACTCTGTCTTTTGTCCAGGTATTTCTTCTCCTGAATGAAATTGTGTCTTTAATTTGGCTATCCAGCTGGGCACTCATCTCCTCAATCCTGTTCACTGAGGCATAGTCAGCCAAGGTGGCAGGACAGCAGGCTCTCTATGTCACCTCTGCTGCTTTGGGGTACAGGGACACCTCTGAGGCTCCTTCACAGAGGCAATCTGTGATGCTCTGAGAATTTGCACTACTGTAATACTCAGCAGAAGAGTGATGTTTCTTTCTCCTTTCTCCTCCTATCACATGCAAGGAGAGGCAACTAAACCTTGGCTTAGTGCATGTTAAATACTGCTTTGGGGACCATTGGACGGGGTACAACACTGCCTTCCTGCCAGCCAGGAAGTCTGTTCTGTTGCTTGATACTTGCTTTGAGGCCTTGGCACCATCCTCCATGTGGGCTAAAATGACATGCCTCTACCTTTCACTTCTTATACCACTTTTGGGACATCAGAGCTGATGGTGTGAGTTCCTCAAAGGGTTATAAGTGGGGAGGTTGCTTGACTCTTTGATCTGGACAAAGAATATTGCTTGTCTTAAAAGGGCCTTATGTTTTGGTCTCATCTCTGGGTTATGTGGCAGCGACAATCTGCCTCACCTCTGCCTGGGATGCTTCCGACTAACCTTGTAGACATCAGAGGGCTGCGAAAACTGTGATGAGCATGCAGAAGAATCAAAAGGCTTTGCCTAGACTCACCTACACAAGTTCTCATCTTATTTATCTGAGCTTTTGGCTTCCTTATATCTTTTCCATCTGATTTTTGCACTGATGCTTTGTTCTGGGGGTTGTTAGTACAGCTGAATCTGTGGCAGATGATACATCAGCTATTGCCTCTCTCAGTGCAATGCTTATTTCCACTGCACTCTCATGCACAATCATTGCTGTGATTTTCCCTTGTACATAGCTCCTTATGTCCTTCACAGCAGTTTTACTTCCATCTTACCTCACCCATTTTGCTGGCTCACCAGCAAACTTAAAGTAAGTTTCTCTCCTGGAAATGAGCAGTGCCAACAGCTCTCTGACTGCAGTGACTTTCCTTCATATTGTTGAGTTTCTTCTCTTCTCCATAACAGTTTTTTTCTCTTAGATATTCTAGCAAAGATACCAATACATTATTTAGTTCTTCCTTGTTAGTGACAATTAGATCTCCCTTGTGCCAAATGAATGAAGCTCTGCAGTGAGCAGCTTTCTCAGGGTCACATTAATAAAGCCGTGATGCATACAGTTGTCTTCTCACGCAGTTGAAGGTCTTTCTGCATTTGAATAGTCCTGTACTCCACATACAAAAATATCAGTGTTCCAAATCTGCCTTGTATCTTTTTGTGACCTTTCAAAGACATGCCTATGCTGTCTTGTGTTTTGATGTAGTCAAATTTAATGGAAATATGCTTCTATCCTTTGGGTAAGTAGAAGAGTGTAGGTTCCCTGGCAATGAGTCCAGTGGTGATTTTCTTCCAGTGCTGTATTCACTCACACATTGCTTTTTAATAGTGTAAAAATTACTGGGTTTTTTTTCCTCACTCTAAGCAAGTAGATGGGAGCCTCCAATCAGCTGTTTGGCAGATGTTAACCAGAATCAGAGGTCCCAGCTCAAACAGCCAGATGGACAACTCAATGGACAAGAAATCAATACCAATAGCTGTAAGGCACAACAATGCACAGACCTGTTTGAGCCATTCAAAAATCTCACAGGAGAAAAGGTAACATTCTCTGAGAGTAAAGGTAGTGATGTCTCTCGTTCTTTAAGGCATTTTGATTTCTTATGTTTGCTGTTGCAAACATTGATTTCTGCTTTTTACATTTTTTTTTACAATTTTTTCCACTTGCTGCTTCCGTATATTTTGCTGCTGTTTTGAACAACTGCATTTAAGCTGAAGGGGTTTTTTTCTGTATTTTTCTCTCCCCACTTTTTTCCTTGTTAAGACAGAGAATGAGCAAGGTCGTAGAACTTCTCTAGAAAAATTCACTCGCAGTGTGGTAAGTTCCTTTTCTTTTGCCTCCTCCATTTCCTCAGAACTTCATTTTTAGTTGGGGGGAATGTGGATGCTTGAATTTTTATTTCATCCTTTATTTTTGCAGCTAGCATCTTTGCAGCTTCTCTCTTAAGACTGTAGCCCATCTAAATAGCAGCTCTAGAGAAGGGGCTGGGGGTGGGGGGCAGAAATGGCAGAATGCTCATTCCAGCCTATCATCATTGAAAAAGCAAGTTGATTTTTGTCTAAAATTAAATGCAAAGTTGTCTTTTTGCTATGTTCCCACTACAGTATTTGTTGTGGCTTTTCCTTGCTCAGTGAAGTCAAAGAGCATGGGTCTCATAGCACCATTGCAACAGTATCCATGTGGTTCCATAGTGCATGGTTAACCATAACCTCACATACATATCCACCCACACCAGTTCCTCTGTTGCC